CCCCAGTCTAGCCTCTGGAAGAAAATGCGGGTCCCGCGCGGGCCCCACCACCGCGACGAGATGATGTAGGTTCCACATAGATGCTTGAGAAATATTGGCAGATTGGCTGTGGATCGCAACACCAATCTGAGCACCAGTTTTCCTACCCGTCGTAGGTACCCCAGTCTCGCATCTGGAAGAAAATGCGGGTCCCGCGAGGGCCCCACCACCCCGACGAGATAATGTGGCTTCCGTGTGGAAGGATATGCGGGCCCCAACTCTCGCCGTTGCATGGTAAGTCATAGACTCGATGGAGTGCTTACGAAAGAGATTAAACTTAATTGCCAGGATATAATGGCCTGTCCAAAACTCCAAATACGAACTCGCACCCGTTTACCTTCCCGTTAATGATACCTCGTTCTACCTTCGGCAGGAAATACGGGTCCCATGTGTCCCCAGCACCAACAACCAATGCGCCTCTCACGCGTAGTTTTAAGCATTGTCCCAGGCCACCTCATAATTAACTCAATTACTAAATTTAAACCTCCCCTCTAATTTTGTCCCTCGACGGATTCAAAAAGCCTCTCTTTTCCTTTGATCAGCCGACGGTGATGCGAAGGGAGAGCGCGAGGGAGGACGACTCGAGCCTTCCTCCCCGTGATCGCCTCTTCGTTGATCCCACCAACGGGCTAGCCCCTTGATCCTTTCCTCCGCCACTTCTTGGATCCGCCTCTCCGCCATGGGATGGTGGGAAGCTCTCCTCAACTGGCTCCGAAGGTGACATCCGTTGACATTCTTTTCTTCTTTTGTTCTTTCTTTTATAGCCCTTTCTATCTGGGATTGATTCAATTCTGTGGGACGGGGTTCGATTTGAATTCACCGTCCTTTTGGCGTGCGTCTGGGCTTTGTTGATGGATTATGAAGTGACAACATTTTAGGGATTTTTGGGATATGTGAATTGTGGTCTTCGACTTGAGGCTTTTGGTTGCCAAATTGGTGAGTCGTAGTTGTTGAGCTGCCATCGGTGGCGATCCGAGTAAACTACGGCTAGTCTATCGAGGATATGATAAACCGAAGGGAAATTAATATGCGAATTGTTGAGATTGCTTTGTTCGTCTAAATTTGGTGATTTGGTTTCATTTTTATATGGGATGCGTTAAGAATATAAAACTGTATAATTAAATGACGTTGATCATAAATTTAAGAGGGTTTCGGAGTGAAAGGTCCTTAGTTCAAATCTTCCCCAGACCACACAGAAAAAATTCCTTCATTGCTTTCTTCATATTGGGTTTGAGTCAGTCCTCATCCAACATGAGGAAAAGTGTTAAGAACATAGACTTATGGATCATGTCTTATATACTGGCTTAAACTTTTAGATGGACTGATATTGATAAAAGTTTAGGAGAATGTGGCATGTCATTGTGTTAATTTGGAGACCTTGTAATACCTTATTCATGTCAAGGCCTTGGCAATTTTATACTTTCATTCGTGTGTTCACAAAAGATGCCTTGTGGAAAGTGCTTTAATACAATATTTGTGAAATTTTGTTGCAAATGCAGCCTATTCTTCAAGCAAGAAATGGAGCTGTCTTTGATAGGACTTCAGAATGCTGGGAAAACTTCCCTTGTGAATGTCATTGCAGTATGTGGATATGTTCTCATGTTTCTTTTGAGTGCTGGTGAATTTATTTGTGTACCTGATATATTTACTTTCTTCTGTAGACTGGTGGATATTGTGAGGACATGATTCCTACAGTGAGTAATCCCTTCAGTTAAGGTCATGTTTTATTCTAATAAACCAGCATTCTCTTGGTACTAAAATATTGTCGTTTTCACTGGATTGGTAGGTTGGATTCAATATGAGGAAGTTGACTAAAGGAAATGTTACAATCAAATTATGGGATCTCGGAGGCCAGCCTAGGTTTCGCAGTATGTGGGAGAGATATTGCCGTGCAGTCTCTGCCATTGTGTATGGTCTTACCTCCTCTCTTGGATACTCGTTTAGCTTATTTACTAAGATTCTTTTGCATCTGATATCTGTGATAAGATTGCATGTACAAATCTGTGATTTTGCCATTCTGAATTCATTCTTCTGGTGGTTTATGATTTTGAACCAAAATGGTGACAAGTGAATTGATAGCAAGACTGATATTCGCGGGATTTGAAATGTGCTATTTAAATAAATGTCTATTTCATGTGATTTCAGTCAACATTCATGTATGGTTTCATCTGGACAATTTGCAATCATCATCCAGGTCATCTCATCTTCTCTCTTCTAACGATCTTTTTTTCTCTTGTCAACTCATGAATTTAGAACTTTGATTACTCATATTTCCACGAGGTACTCAGGAATTATAGTAGTCCTGTTAGTGATTATGTACAACTTTATTATGAGTAGATATGATGTCTAATTTCTAATTCAAGTGCCTATCGGGTTGTGAGGATTGTGAAATCATTAGAAGTTGAGATTTGGAAGATCTAGGTGACTCAAATCCATTTAAGGGCCAATTAGTTCTCTACTTTTGATAGTAAATGATCTGAGCTCAATGCCAAGAAGGCTCCATGGAAGTTTTGGCAAAGCCTTGTGATCACCTGTTGACCTAAGGTCAAATCTCTAAAGCTAGTGTTAGATAAAAAGTTCTATCTAAAGGACTTGTAGGTGGATAAAAAGATCCATGTTATTTTGGCATCTTAAGCTCCTGTAATTATATAATACTGTGTGACCTGATAAGATTTTAGATATAATACGACAAGCTTTGCCATGGAGAGCATTATTCATGTTTTAAATGCCTATAATTAAAAAGGTGATTAGGTAAATTATGACCACAAACAATTAAGCAACCGAAATGCCATTGGTGTAATAACCATTTTAAAGAAAACAAGGGCTTCTGTTCTTATATGATGGACACATTGAACTTGATCAAGTTCAATTTAGGTCCAGGCATCTAGCTGGTTTTACTGTTCAGTAGAAACCTGGTCAGGTCACGGTTCGATGCAGTTTTGCTTCTTCAATCCGACAGTGGAACTGAACCAGATAGGTGTTCATTTCCCGGTTTTCCTGTCGGACATGCCAGTCTGATACAGTTCTGATAAATATGCTTCTGAAATACCTTGGTTAACAGACTGATATCTTAAACATGTGTCTACATTTTGAGAATTTTGTTTCGTGATCACATTGTACAGTTTAATGCATTCAAATATTATCATGCTCGTGAAATGTAGCGCCTGCAATTTACCTGTTGCATTTTTTGTTAACAGAAGAAGAATTCTGATGCCATTCACTCTTACCAGCAAATTAAAAGCATACATGGATTTCATCATGTTGTGCTATGTCCATATGTTCAAGTTGTGTCGGTTTCCCCATTTTTCATTTGTAGTATGATTTTTCATTTGTAGCATTTCATACATTGCCCCAACTATATATCTTAACTGAGAATAACAGAGAAACGATCTCCATATCATGTTGCAACTGCTTTATCCAACATCTCAATTGCATGGTACAAAGAGCTTAATCTTCAATGGGAACTTCACTTTGTCTTGCAGGTATGTTGTCGATGCAGCAGACCGTGATAACTTGCCCACCTCAAGAAGTGAACTACACGATCTTTTAAGCAAGCCATCGCTCAGTGGAATCCCGTTGCTGGTGCTCGGAAACAAAATCGACAAGCCTGAAACTATGTCGAAGCAGGGCTTTACAGATGAAATGTAACAAATCACCAATTCCTCAATTGTTCTATTACTTGTCCATGGTAGAAAAGCAGGACCTGTGATGTTAGTGCTTCCCCCATTCTAACCATTGATCTGCATTGCAGGGGCCTGAGATCTATCGCGGACAGAGAAGTCTGTTGCTTCATGATCTCATGCAAGAACTCAACCAACATCGACTCTGTCATACATTGGCTTGTGAAGCATTCAAAGTCGACGAACTGAGCTCTGGGGATCGTACTATCTTGTAGCTTATCTAGGTTGCTCGTGGTTTTTTATGCTGATATCTCTCTTGGTTGGCTGAGCTTACGGCTTGTATTAATTGCCTTTTACCCAAAGGCTTATTTATATTATGTGCAACCGGTGGCTCGCACTGTTGCCATTCATGTCATGTTAAATTATTGTTCTGAATGAAATAACCTTTGCACCTCGTCAAGGCATATTGATGATATTGTATTTGAGGTACATTAGTGTGGAAAAAATCTTCTTCATTTAGGATCTTGAGAATAAAATGTTAGTCAAGGTGTAATTGATGATATCCATATATCTATTCATTAGGATTATTTCTACATGTTTCATTGTGATTTAACAATCCACTTGTTCACAATCATAAATCATTGAACATTTTGTGATAGAATAGTTATAACCTTTGCTTATGCTCGAGTTCCTAGAGAGAAACCCTTACTCAGGTCAGCATCATTACAAACCCAATAGACCCGAGATAGGATGCATGTAATAGTATGCATTCATATCTACTAACATCACATGACGTAATAACACCTGGGCTTACATTCATCAGTTGAATGTACCAATCTGTTGGCAAATTTGTATGGATGCATGCAAACCACATGCAACAGTTCCTAACAGAAATTTATCATCAAAAGACTATCTATGACTTAGAACAATGTTGCATAAAAGTGAAATTGGCGTTTAATGTATAACACAAACAGGCTACCAATTCTCAAAAATGGGTTTAACTAAGCATTAACGGTTGACACCAGCTAATTCAAGGTCTTATAACCAACCCTCACTAAGATTGCTCCAAACAATGTTGAGACATCAGCAAGAAGCTCAATAGAACACCGAAATAACTGTCAAGATCGTACCATCCCTAGGAAGGCTCATTCTTTGTGATATGAAGGCTCATTCTTTTAGGCGCCAGCAACTTCGGATTCACCTTCCATCTGGACATCTTCTGCAGGTCTGTCCACCTTGACACCCACATCCTCCTTGTAGTCACCATGGACCTGTATCAGAAATATAGGTGCCTTGCAGTGAGATACGTGTGTCCACATTTAATGAATGCAAAGGTGATGTTTAGACTAGGGTAATTGATAAACAACAGGAGTACCTCCATAAGCTTTCCCAAGTCAAACTTGGGGGCCTTCAAGATTTTTACTTTGCGGATGTACACATTTTGGAGAGGGAAAATGCTTGAAGTTGCTTTCTCAATCTCCTTTCCAATTACATCAGGAATGAACTTCAGCACCAAATCCTTCAGATCACAGGTTGTAGCTTGATTGACCATAATTTCCCTCATTTTGCGGCGTATCTGAAACAAGACAGATGACATAACCCTAAATTTCTCCAACCAAAGTTCGGTGCTAGAAAACAGAAGCCTGTACAGTGTGACGAACTTACCTGTCTTATCTGACTGGATTGGGCATAACAAGTGCGCTTGACCTGGTTTGGGCGCCTCTTGGTGAAAGCAATGCAAAACAGTCGCAGAGTGTAATTGTCGGTAGTCTTCACATCAACATGTGCTTCAATCAGAGTCTGCCACCTGCGGACTATATGTCTGAGCTTGTCAGTCGTCAAGTCCATGCCCTGAAGAAGAGGAAGAGATCAACTCAGAGATTCAAGAGTTACAAAATCACAGTGAAACACAAACCATACCCAGAAGTTGGTGAGAACATTTTTTCCTTGTACATCCTCTGATCGGAGCCGAATCTTCCTGTGGGCCTGGTCCTCATCATTCTGAAGGTCAGCTAAAGAGACCTCAAATACTCTGTGCTTGAGGCCCTCGGATGCAATCTGATGGAAGGAAGAAACCACTGTTGATCCAACTTATCATGGGAAGAAATATTCAGGCATAACTGACACATCCTAGGAAAATTGATGGATAAACTATGACGAAAAAAACCATAGATAGACTGATTTCTAAGTCATGATTGACATATAAGAAGAATGCCAGATTATACTGACAATGAAGTACAGTACTCAAGATTTTTCATAACATACAATTATTAGCCTTAAATGGCATATGAAAGTGTTCTGGAGGGAACAGTTTGATCTTCATAATTTTTACAATAGAAATTTCATAATTTTTACAAAAAAAACTATTTTTTTTGTGAACAAAGTTTTAGACACTAGTTCCATTTCAATGTTTACGCTTTCAGAAAAAGCTTTTCTGACGCTCAAAGTCCTCTCCCATCTCTTTGTATACCTTACACAAATTATTGTTCCTCAGCAATCAAAAACCCTTCCAAAGTGCATAGGTCAATTAAGAAATGCATTGGTCGGCTTGTATAATTACAGGTGATTCAACTCAATTTCCTCAGTTCCAATCCAAAGCAAGACTGTGTAAATTTACATATATTTCATTGAATTCCTCATAAACTACCAACATAGTATCCCTCCAAGTAGATACATTCCTTCATTCATTTCCTCGTGTAAGAGCTCACCTACAAGCTCCCATGGCATCACCTCCTGTAGGAAGAGAATACAAGGCTTCCAACTCATCTCTCTCTTTATGATCTCATTCTTATAGCAAAATTCAAAGTTATTTATTATATGAGACTTTCAACAGATAAAACTTTAATACTATGGAATGAGATTCCTCTACAGTTAACAACTTATGCATTATATATATAGGAAGACAAACTTACATTTTCGGTACTCAAGTCACAAAGTTAACTAAGTTCGTGCAGAGAACACAAAGACATCAAATGGAAGAACATGAATGAAGGCAACAATCGCAGCAGCAATGCGAACCTTGGTGCCCTGCGTCCTCGAGACGAGGGTCTTCCCGATGTTCCTGACGTTGAAGACGGAGGGAGCCTTGATGTCGTACCAATCCTTCTTGGAGAAAGGGTCGACCCTGAAACAGATCCAACCGATCATCACCACTGCGCGCAACAAGGACAAGCATAGATCGAAAAAAGAGCAGCAGAAAAAAGAGGGGCATGGCATTGCAGCTTACGTCTTCTTCTTGCCTCCCTTTTTCCCCTTCGAGATCCGCTTGTTCTTCCTGCAAGGGCGATCGATATCAAAAAGAGCGACAGAGGGTAAAGAAGAAGCAGAGAAACGTCGAAGCGAGTTAGGCCGACATCCAAAACTCACCCGACAGCCATGGCTGCTGCCGCCGCTGCCGCAACCGCAAGGAGGTTTCGGCGCGACGGGCAGCGACGGAAGGAGAGAGAATTCTACCCTAGAAACCCAGCCGCTTTTATAGCCCCGCAGTCTTATTGATCCAACGGCAGAGAATCCACTATTTGGCTTAAATCAGCACGAATCTCCAACCCGAAAAAGTACGAGCTCATCCCGTTGCCGGTTCACAATCGAACCGGTTGTAAGGTTTGATCGAACCTGATTCCTTCTATTACGATGATTATAGTTAGACGTAGGATTGCATCACAATTATGAGTCCAGATTAGGTCAGTGGTCTCGTGATAGGATCATAGCAAAGTTGGTGCGACAGCCACTGGCGGTCGGTTGGTCACCGTCACAGATTCCACCGCGATCCAATCGGAACAAGAGGGAAAGAAACCAATCGATTTCGCCCGAATCTGAAGCAACCGGCGGCAAGCGTACAAGAGAAGGAAGCATTTGGTCGACCCATCATCCATCACCGGCCTCAAGCCTGACCGCATTGTTACGATCGATGTGATCGAGGACGAAGATGTTGGAGAGTGTACCAGCTGGAATTAGAAGGTGCCCCCTCAAAATAAAAGTACGAAATAGCGAACGACAATGACCAGATCCGCACATCCATGCGTTTTTTGCTTGCCTCTTCCGCAAATCCCTGCCACTGACCGCTTCCTTTTATACCAGTCCTTCGCTCCGCGCCTTCTCTGGCCCTGGCGGAGGAGGAGGAGAGCAGCTTCTCTTGGGGATCGGAGGGCAGGCAATGGCGTTCCAGGGGACGACCACCAAGTGCATGGCATGCGACAAGACGGTGTACTTGGTCGACAAGCTCACCGCCGACAACCGCGTCTACCACAAGGCCTGCTTTAGGTGCCACCATTGCAAGGGCACCTTGAAGGTGCCTATTAGATCTCTTGCCTCTTGCGAAACCTCTCTGTTCATAAGATCACGCACATCTCTGCAACTCATTTTCTTCGATTTGCAGCTGGGAAACTATAATTCCTTTGAGGGAGTCCTGTACTGCCGACCTCACTTTGATCAGCTCTTCAAGATGACCGGCAGTCTGGACAAAAGCTTTGAAGGTGATCATCACGTCTCGCATTCCTTCTCGCCACTGTGATACCTGAAACTGCCTTCGTCTTCTCTTTCCAGGGACCCCAAAGGTTGTCAAACCAGAGAAGTATGTCGATAACGAGGTAAAGTGATCGATGCATGTCGATCATCAATCTATTACTGTATCATTTGCTGCTTCTTAATCAGCTTGGACATTTTGTTTCTCTCATGATGAGCTGCAGAACGCAAACAAAGTCTCCAGTGCTTTCGCTGGCACCCAAGAGAAGTGCGTTGGATGCAGCAAGACTGTTTATCCGATTGAAAGGGTAATCTCTGATGCGCACATGCGATGAGGTTCTTAATTGTCGCAAGTATCTTAGAGTGCTGTGCCTGTTGCAGGTGACGGTCAACGGAACTGCGTACCACAAGAGCTGCTTCAAATGCTGCCATGGCGGATGCGTCATCAGCCCTTCGAACTACATCGCGCACGAGGGAAAGCTGTACTGCAAGCATCACCACATCCAGCTGTTCAAAGAGAAGGGGAACTACAGCCAGCTTGAGAACGATGAAGCAGAAGCTAAGTCAGAATCCTCTGCTGCGTAATTGATTCCTGGAAACGCATCTGTTTTGTTTGCCACAAGAGTGAGTGGTATCCTTAGCTTTTGATGCATTCTAATGCGCCTTGTGTTCTATTTGATATATGAAGGCTCCAAATATGTATAAAGAGTTGGAGTACTTCTAATTATAAGGCCTCTTTAATGTAATATGCATATCTGAGATTTTGAGGAAAATATTAAAGAATAATTATTTGGGTAGTTAGTTGATGATGATGCGAATGATGGCCGATTTGGCGCCTATATAAGAGGCCCACTCTCTCTCTCTCTCTCTCTCTCATTTCCGCCCTTCCCTCTCTCTCCGGTGTTGAGGCTGAGATGGCCGCTCCTCTCGGGGTCCCAGGCCTATCTTCGGATCGATTCGCCCTCCCCTGCTTTGCTTCCCTCGCGCAGGCGAGATCGCTGGTACTGGACGCCCTTGTCGAGATCAAGCCCGGGGAGATCGGGATCGTTTCCGGTGTCCCTCAAGAACATCTCAACATCTCCGACGCAGGGTGACCCCTCATTCGAACCCTCTGCATTATTCTAATTTTCAGTTTCTTAGATCTGTGTTATCTGTTTGGGTTTCGAGGATCGTTTGGAGTTTGCTGAGAATCTTGAATCGAATAATCGAATCCCAGATATCGAGATTAGGGCTTTCATTTTTCTTCGTTCTGTTTCGATTGTCGAGATCTCGGGTTCTTGTGATGGTAGCGTGGCTTGTGAATCAAGCTTCGTGCTGATCCTAATTCATCGGACCTTAGAGGCGATTGTTTCGATTCTGATGGATGACTTGGGATATGAATCTTGATGCCGTATTTTGCGCCTTGTCTGATCGTGTCGGATAGCTTGTTCAAACATCGTTTTGATGTCAATCATCATGAAGAATCGATACAGATCATGTGGAACCATGATTGAATACCACATCGAGCACAGAGATAATCGACTATTCTAGAGCAAATGATTGGTATGCACGCACGACACGTATGCACACCCAAAAGAGAAAGCAATTCTAGAAGAACAGTTTTATATAACATATATACTTCTACAGTGCATTGCATCTTGGCAATAGTCCTGACACTTGTTTAAACATGAGTAAGAACATCTCAAGGATTGTGTTCGGTGTGTTTTATGTGTGAAACAAGAAGGTTAAAGTCATAGGACCACTATAGAGAATAAATATATGTTGTAAATTTTAAATTTTAATTTTTTTTAGTGATCCTTGACAACGAGAGTTACTGTCATAACCCTGGTTGATGAGCTTAAACCATTGGTCGAAAATTCAAGTTAATAGTTATATATTTATTAGTCGAAAATTCAAGTTATGAACTTATTTGTTATGTTAATTTTCCATTAGTCCAGAATGCTTGCACCCATCAAACTCATATAGTAAATCTTAGTTTTTACCCGCTTCAGATGTAGAATTAAATTAATATAGTTTAGAATAACTGAATTAAGACGGTTAAAAGAGGGACAACATGCAAAACAATCTAGCAGTGATCTTAAATATATCGTACTTTATCATCTTACGATTAAACTTGGGATGAGTGCCTTGTTCATGTTTGTTATCCAAAGGAAAATGGACACCACTGCTAACACACACAGTCATCTTCTTCTTTTTTTCCGAAAGAGAATGTTAAATTTTACCAATTAACTTCTGTGTAGCCCTAGACAACAGAAAAGTAGCCACTTAATTTTTCTGGAGCAGTTTTGAATAAATTAGGACTTATTTTTCACACTCGTGCAGGTCACAATACATTCACCGGTTCAGACTGCAGCTTTGCAAATTTCTGGAGTTGGAAAGTGGAAACTGAGTTTTGTGTCAACTCAAATAACTCAAAACTAGTTGATTTTTCGTTAAATCTCATATTTTGATGATGAAATTAATTGATAATGTTACGATCTAATCTACGTTTTGAATGACGTAGGATTAACTTCGATCAGAAGAGGTAAATTGATTAAAGAATCAGATGTTGGGTCGGAGTTGAACATGTCAGAATATTGGACATCGGGCCGGAAGATCAATCGATGTGTCGATAGAAGGTCTCGGTCTGTAAATTCGGGCATCGGGCCAAGAAGATCGGACATTACGCTAAGGAGATCGAAAATTACGAAAAGACAACATGCTGATAGGACAATACGCTGAAGGAGATGACGATGCGCCGAAGGATCGGACGAAGCGTCAGAAGAACCAATGATATGTCGAATAACATAGGATTCTATTGTAATCGATTATGTCTAGATCGAGTTAGTTTAGAATATAATTAGGTTAACTCAATTATGAGTCAACTAGACCCAAAGTGGGATTGTTTTGAGCCAAGAAAATAACACATTCAATGGCCCAAAAGTTGGGTTAGGTGGTGGCACCATCGGTCCAAGCAGTGACACCGCCAGTGGCTTAAACTACGAGACACAATCTCCAAGACTATGTCATGCGGTGGTACTGTCCTCTCTCAAACTGTGTTAGGTGGTGGTACCGTCCAATATCAGTGCTACAGGTGATAGTATCACCAGTACCAAAAAATCGGGGATGAGACACTTTTTAACGTTTGAATCCACTTTGGGTTTATAAATACCCTTCTCATATTACACAATAATTGATAGCAAAAAGAAAAAAAAAATGTTGTTGTAATCTTGTGAGAACTCCTCTCAAACTTCAAGTATTAGTGAAGTTTAAGAGAGGAGGTAGTGGGGGTGTAAAGGAGAATAGAGTTATAAGAAGAGAGGAGGTAGTGGATTGAAGGAAGACGGTGTGGCCTCGACGGAAGAGAAATCAGGAGTGGATGTAGATCATAACGATCGAACTAGTATAAAACTCGATTTGTATTTACTTTAAGTTCTTTACTTTCATTGTAAACTGATTTCTTACCTTCATTGTAAACTCGGTTAGCGTTCATTTTCTCAGCTTCAATCCACATTTAATTTTAAAAGAAACCAAGTGAATTTGAGCTCATTGATACCTATGTTGAGGGCAAACAGGATCACCTAACTTGTAAAAGAAATTTTTTAACTGTATTATCAAGGATAACTAAGATGTCCCATGAGCAGTTCCAATCATATTTCTTTGTAAGGATATTGGTTGTGTCAGCCTTTTGGCATCATTAGTCTAATGTGGGTATGTTTCATGTTCCATATTTAGCAGGATGAGCCCATCAATTCAATGGTTAGTAATCCATATACAGTCTTTTGAATGTATAATTTAGACTCTGATTCAGGTTATATAACTGAATTAGCTAGTAAAGTTGAAAACTATATCAATAGCATTTTATGACGATGCCTCCTCTTTTATAAGTCCGTTAAATTTTTTGGTGTTGAGAGGGCTTGAGAGAAATTTGAATGCTCTAAGATTCTAAATCAATCTGAATATGCACGACCTATCAAACTAGTGGTTGACAATGCATATCTATTCACTTTAATACACAATTTAGATTCTGATTTAGGTTATCTTTAATAACAGCATTAGCTAGTAGGGTTAGAAATTGTATTAATGTCATTCTACGATGATGGACCATAAGTCAATTAAGATTAATGATGTAAGGAGAGAGTAAAAGATTAATGAATGTTCTTGATTTGAATGAATATATTGGATTACAGATGAAAAATATAAGCATGTATTCGATCTTAAAACGTTAGGACTTCTTATTGCTGTAGGATCTATGTTTTCTATTCCGTGGATAGCCCATGGAGGAGTTGTGTGTATTGTGGTGATCTACGCATTACCTAGCTAACATGTGTGCGACGTAAATTCTGTCGGCGTAGAGCCGCCAACTGTCCGCATTGTCATAATTCTTCTCATGTGGTATTAATCAATCTTCAAGGAATTTGTCATGTTTGCTATCAACTCGTCACTTCAAAGCTTGGACATGAACTGTTGGCTTATTCCTTTACTTCCAATAAATACGTTTCAAGAGAGTTTTAAGGCAATGATCGAAGCATAAGAATACATTCGAATGTTTTGCTTGCGCAAACTATAGTCAAATTTCAAGACTTAATTATCTCTTGCTGAACAGGTTTGTGACCAAACATCTTTGCTAATATTTCTTTCCGCAGCCCAAATCCGGTGCAGACAGCTTAAGTAGTTGTCTACCACCAGACGAGCAAGCCTAGACGGGTACTTCCTTCGAGGTGAAGTAAGGGTCAAAGGTGAGCCTTTTGCATTATATACTTGCAAATCATATATATACATATATATATATAAGCATGATTGATAATAATCTATTTAACTATGCAAAATATCTTTAATTAAGCATCATATAATTTTTTTCTTGGGATGTTGAACCTAAATTTAGAGAAATAAATACAAAGAACCACCGACTTGGTAGGAAAATACATACATGCGTGTGTAACTTGACACAAAAAATGCCCGACTCCTGTTATTCTAGTACTCGGTTTCTGACTCGTGTTTGCATCAAAAAATGTAGGCATACGAGCAAGACACACAAATGCACATCATTCTTTTGCAATAAAATATAACTCGTCTCATTTACGCTTATATTTACTTCTTGATATCACTATATCTAGCGCTTGCTCTTGGTTTGTACTAGGTTTGCACAAGCAGGGGGACCAGAAGCAGAGAGGTTTCTCATGCTTCGCAGTAGGTGGCAGAAGCCTTGGAGATGTCAAATCTCCATGCAAAAAGATAGTCCCGCGACTGACAGAAGAGGCGAATCACGTTGCATGGCACGTTGACGAGGTTCTTCCTCCCGTTGCATGCCCACTCGATCTTCACCTTACACGAGAACCCGCTGGAGGTCTTGGGGACGGAAGAGTCCTTCACATCCAGCATCACCTCCCCGCTGATCCTCCTGGGAAGCGACTTCATCGGCAGCATGCCGCGGCCGGACAATATCATGGAGTCCAGCCAGGGACACTCCGGTTGACCCACCATCTCCTTGTAAGCCGAATTGGCGAGGCGCACCCTGTTTTGGGAGTCGGACACCACCGCCGGGAGCTCGTCGGACTCGACCTCTTCCTCCACCTCCTCAGGCCTCTTGGAAACAGGGACGGCTGGTACGGCACTGGCGTCATGGCATATGGACCCGACGCTGATGCTCGACCCCACCGGTCGCACCGGCTGGGGCACGATCACCCTTGGCTCCTGCAGCTTCTGCAGCAGGTCTTGCTCCACCAGGACCGCAGCGTCCGCCTTGGCCTCGGGCGAGAGAGGTAGGACGGTGAGGGTTGGGATGTCGCAAGCGCTCTTCTGGCAGGTGAAGGGGACGAACGTAGGGTACGTGGGGCTCAGCTGGGCCTGCGGCCCCGCGGCGGCGAGGACGGGGAGGATGCTCCTCTGACGCTTGTTCGGGTTGGGAGCGAGCTCAGCGCGTCCACGCTTTCGTGCACGGCAGGAGCGGGGAGCGCGGAGGCGGAGCGCGCCCGCTGACGTCACCTTCTGACATGTGCCCTCGGCTAGCTGTGGCCGGGGAAGCGACGGCTTAGGTGCGATAGGCCGGAATCTGGCCATGATCGCATGGGTCTTGGCCATGTCCATGGAGAGAAACATGGTCGGTAGGTTGACTGCCTTCCCTCTGTGACTGTGAGAGTAGCGAGTGATCCGGTGGGTTTGAATGGGGAGGCGAAAGGTTTAAGAGAGGGGGAGGAGGGCAGCAAAGCGAGCTGAGCAGGGCCTGGGTGGTGGCACGTGGGAGAGTGGCGTGGTACGTGGAGTGGAGGTTTACGAAAGCGAGACACGTAGGGTCTTTTTCTACAGCGAGGATTGGTGTTGGCAAAAGGAAGCTACGGTTACATGTGGAGCGGGGGGAGGGGAAGAGGGAGGTTCAGAAATGGCGTGACATTTATCCTGCGCCATGGGGAGGGCGAATGGGGAGCGAGCGAGCGGCGGCGTGGCGTGGTCATGCGCCATGCGTAGCGTGCACACATGGCGGCAGGCCAGGGGATGGGCCTCGGTGCTTCCGATTGGAGACGGATGGGAAGACGGAGTTAAGCGAGGAGGAAAGAAGGGGGTTGTGACCGCGGGCGCCGTTCTCGAGGGGTGGAGGGGAGGGGAGGGGAGGGGAGGAGAGGAGGAATGCATGGACAGGGATGTGGTCGCTGGTTGGCAAGTGTCGAGCAGAGGTGGTGGCAGAGCTTCCGTGAAGGAACGGATGCGTTCGGTTAACCGGCACGCCGGGGCGAGAAGCGTGATTTTATCGTCGTGATGATGGCTTTTGGGGGACGGCCTTTAGGTTCCACGTGCCTTCGTCCTGGGGGACGGCCTTTAGGTTTACTGGCATGGGCTGGCTGTTTAGAAAGCATACGTGTTACCTAAATATATAACAATAACAAACTTAGATAGACATTCTTTTAAACCTATCCATCATTTTCTTTCAATTAATACCAGCAAAAAAGAAAAGGGGTAGAAAATAGACCTCCCATCTTCTCTAGAGGTTTTGCATAGGTGAGTCCGGTTTTGAATTCGGTAAGAACATATACGACAGGAGAAATTAGTCAGATGACTTCTATTCTTCTCGTCTCGAGATTAGCGAAGATGGATCTGATATTAAATTAGGCAAATAATGTAACCATATTAGGAGAAATCAGTCAAATGTCATTTCTTCTCGAGGTTAAATATTCATATATTTGGAGAGGACTGAGTGCCGTAATCATAGCACAAAATATATACTTCACTTCACCTTTTCTTTAGCTATCACAGCCTCTCTTATAGCTGTCGTTATATCACAAGCTTAATATATCATCATTCAAATTGACATTTCAAAGAGAAGTCACTTAGAGCTGATAGTCCTAGTAGAGCAAATATATGATCTGATAGCTCTTCAGGTATTAGGTGATTCACCTTCTTTATGCCCTCATTTCCATTTCTTCTAGGACATAAGTATCTCCCTGTGTAGACAGCTTATTTATTGCACTGTAGTAGCTTATGTTGGATCACGCATTGTTTATTGGTTATATCGTGGATGCAATTTGTTTTTACATCTGCATTTAAATATTTACACTTGAAGATTCGTGAAATAAAGTTAGACGAATCTTTTCTTCCAGAGAGATGATGGTTCAAGAATGTTTAGCATTTATAGTCATTATCTCATTAGGGAGAGAAGAGATTCCAAAGCATGGTGAAAGAAACACCATCAATCAATGTCCAATAGCAACCAGACATGCCAAATGGCGATACAGACAGACCTACTACCAAGCTAAACAGATCCAAGTTTCTGGCGTCGGTTCAAAGCATAAGTAACTGGACACATGTTCCCCAGAGCAGAGGGCTCAATCCCTGATCATCGGCATCGAACCCGTCTCAGAAGCAAGCATCCAAAAGGCAGCAACAGCAGAGAGCGGCCAAACTGCACCATCACAAGACAAACAGCAATTAAACACCATCAGCGAGGATAGTGTAGCACATATCAACATCCGGATTTGGGTTCTCGATCCGGATTCCAAAAATAAGTCCACCTCCGGGGTGCGCGCACGACAGCAGCCCCGTGTCTATCGTGCGCCAGCGACGGCGGTTGGTATCAATGCTCCGCTAGAAGAAGAGAGAGAGAGAGAGGAGGAGACGGAGAGGGTTTCTATCTAAGCTATTACCATCCTTCGAGGAAGGAAGGCCCTTGCTGCTGCTGCTGCGGCGGCGGCGGTGGCTGGGCGTAAGGGGGCGGATACCCCTGCTGCGGGTAGCCCGCGGACGGGTACCCGGGAGGCGGGTATGCGTCCTTGGCGTACCCCTCCGCCGGATAACCTGCAAGATCACAATCCAGGTCTTAGTATAGAAGAAGAGAAGCCATCTGCCAGGTCATCACTGATGGATGCCTCACCCTGGGGTGGAGGGACGCCGACGGGGGGTTGCTGCTGATTGTAGTAGCTCATCCTTCCTTCCCTTGTTCGCGGCGGTCGGATCCTTCGGCTCTCTTGGAAGAAGGGTTCTGATTTATAGAATGGTGGCCGGTCCCCTGCGCCTTGGAGTCGGTGACCATCGTCCGTGACGATGAACCCTTCTATAGACGCGATCACGACCGTTCATTCCATACGGAGCCTAACCCATCACCGCCCATCGGTGCTGGTGTCTGCAAAGCGGCTTGGAGGGTATCCGAAGTCATAGATGGTGGCGCGGGGAAGCCGCGTTTGTTCTGTTCGCTTCGGGGGAGGCGTATCTCGTACTTTTTAACTGCTCAACAGTGTCTCACCCGGTTGGAATACCCCCTTCGTAATTGGAAGTAGGTGTGGGGTCAGCCGTTGTGCTCCGAACCAGGTACGAAAGCTTGGCGGGACCGTGATGATCTGCGGTATCCATTTCCTTCCCTGCGAAGGAAGGAATCAAACCGAACCGTTTGTTTGTCGGGGAATATATCCTTTACTTGAGGAAATACTTATAAGTATATCAGCAGTCCTTTTATTTGATCTGATTCATATTTCCTCCAATATGATTTAGGAATCAAGTAAAGTGTCTCTCATTCTTTTTCCTTTTTTTTTTCTTCTGTTTCCCATGTCTTTAAGCCGTAGGGCTTGCGGCTCGCTTTCTACGTACAGATCGATCACATGGGAGGGAGTCCTTAAAGTTACATATACATATATAATGCATAAGGAACGTGGTTTAGGTCTCCAAGGAGGAAGAAGAAGGACGCCTTCCTTTCAAAATATTCCACGCTTGGGCTGCTCTTGTTGGAGTGCGCAATTGTGACCGGTTTCAAGCTCTATATATATATATATATATATA